ATAAAATAACCATGCTGTTTTGATCATTATAAACACATATTTTAAATACAATAATTAAAGTTCACAATTAAACTTATAGTCAATTTATAAATTACGTTTAGATTTACTGCAGATTTCATTCGCCAAAAGTTATGAGTTCATTAACTCAATGCAAAACACATTAAATTCTCGAATCGTCGTAAAAAAGGATAAAAATTTAATTAATTATAAATTTTCATAAATATTATCATTTATTCACATTTATTCCGGGTATTAGCGCAAAGGTTTTCCATAATTATAATATGTCTCTCATATATGAAGTGTATATAATAGATATCATCTGTTTTGTTATGAAACGTAACGAATCGGTTATCATAAGAAATATTTTAAAAATTTCTTTTCTCTCTCTCTCTCTCTCTCTCTCTCTCTCTCTTTCTGTTTCTCTTTCTATAAAGAAAACAATTTATAATTCAAAACATATCCTGAATACTGATTAGTTTGTGAAATACTGTTTCGTATGTATGAAGGGTTTAGTCAAACCTTAGCTTGTCTTTCGTAGTCATGAACTCCTATTTGACGCTTATTTTCGCATTAAATATATAAACATTTATGAATTTATAATTCATTTGATTATATTTGTAAAATAATTTTAAAGGATTAGTGTTCAGCGAATAATCATGACAATAATTTTAAAAATATAAACGCAGATAATTAAAATTTTCAATTATATAATCAATCAAATATTCAATAATTTAGTGAACAAATTATTTAAATATTTTTTATTAATTAATTATTTAACGTTTAGTACATTCGGTGCACAAATACTTTTACTTTAAATTTAATGACTTATTATTTGATTGATTATTGAAATTAACCAAATGTTTAATGAATTAAATAATGAATTATAAAAATACTGTGTAACTTATATTAAGCATAAAATTTTGTATAAATCAAGAGTAAATGTATAAGGAAAGTAATCCCGTTTTTTGGCTTAAATTACTATAATTTAAATCTAATGTCAAATTATTTTAAAAAATAAAAATAAAACTATTTTCAACACCAATGTAATAGGAAAGGAAAAACGATCAAAAATGTTTAATTAAAACATTTTGTTGAATGACATACTCTTAGCAACTTGTAATTCAAAGTAACATATATTAGTACTGTATTAAGTAATTGAGTAAAAAATAGACATTAAATTCGTTGTAACTTTTGGTTTGAAGAGTCTGTTAATGGGAAGGGAAGGGAACTACACGTATAAACCAGGGATAAAAATATAATTTAAAAATAAAGTGTTTTGCAAATGGATAATATAAAAAACGCTAAATTTAGAGACAGGAATGTCTATAATGGCTATTGTAATGGCTATACAAACAATTTTGATTGAATAGTGTAAGTCGTTTTTATAACATATAAATAATTTATTTTTGAATAATTTTCTCTTTACATACAATGCAAACATTAAATTGAATTGAAGTAAAGTTACGAAAAAATAAGTTTTATTATTATTTACAATAAGAGAATCGTTTTTTATATAATCATAATTAAATTAAAGTAATCATTATAAAAAATTTTCATTAATATTATTATTATTATTTTCACTTGTCTTCAGTCACTTACGACTCAATTACTCGTTTAAATAATTAACTGATTACTGCATTTGAATATATTAATTAAAATAACATTTGATTCAACAAAATATGGCAATGAATTTGATATAAAATGAAATTTTTACGGAAAAAAGACTAAAAATTGTTTTGAATACAAGGACACAACTAATGGTTTGTAATGAATTTTCTCCAGGTTTGTTGTTTTTGTTGTTTATTAAAGTAATTTAGTTATTATCAATAAACATATTTATAAACTGATGCTACGATTGTTGCGAGACTTAACATAAGGAAACTATTTTGCATTTTCAAGGATGAGCTCAACTGACTTTGAATACTTTGAAGCGTTTTTTCGCTGCATTCAGAAAGTTTGGGTTCCTATTGAAAAAGACAGGCAAACAATGTGTCAATACATTGACGAGCAAAAAGATTTCGAGTGAAAAGATCTCAAAGAATTTCAGATAAAAACTAGGATTTGAAATGAAATTATCAATAAATTGAAAGTATATTTAGAAATTTGATGAAAAAATCTCAAAATATAATAAAGAGGTATTTCATACGTGATTGTTATGATAGGCTTCACACATGTATTGCATGAGATTGGTCTGCGAGCGGCTCTGGATCTCATCCGTATGCGTCCCATCGATTATAACCCACGGAATGAACCGGTGCTGAGGCTCTAAATTAAACGTCCGGTGCGAATGAGCCACTAATAGGCGGTCCCCGTGTGAGCCATCAATGCATTCCTTGATTTGAGTCCAATTCATGGATAGGGTTTCGGCGCACTGGTAGCCAAACAAATGGCAATGAATTCAAGAGAAATACAGTATTTTTTATTAGTCCCGGAATTATAGTAATCATAACAACGTGTACATCGATATCATTATTATGTGAATACAATTATATATTTATTTTTCTCATTCATTTGAGATTTTTTCTTGCAAGACATTGACCTCAATCTAATGAAACTAAAACTTTTGATCCAAATTTTTCTTATAAGTTATCATTTGATTTGCAAAACTCTTTCACATATTATTTATCATTTCTTTGCGTAAACACTAAAACACTGTATAATTAACTAAGACTTTGACACCAATACAGAGGCGATTGGAAGTGCTTTTAGGCTCAAAATTAGCATTAATTTAATTTAAGAAACTATTTTTCACAAACATTTTATGAATAAATATTAAACCATCATTAAAACATATTAAGCGCAAAACATGAATCCCTTCCCGTAAAACAAAACCCAACCATTAATTTATAACTAATAGAGTAATTGCTCTATAATTGTATAATGATCTTGAAATTCAATCTAATAGGAGATCCACTCATCCCTCCTATACATCCCTCCTATGCATCCATATATTGACTAAAAATCTCTTTTTAACTCAATTTGGCAGTTAATACAACATTTTAAAAATGATTTTTTAATTACTCTAAGTTTAATTAAATGCATAAATTCTTTAGAAATCACTTTTGTCTCGTATAAGTTTACATTTTAGACATTATTTATATTTTAATTTATTATGTTTCTTCGTTAACAATAATAAGGTATAAAAACCTCTCAACAAAACCCTGGCAACAGGTTTATTACATAACGTGTTCATCAGTTTTCAACAAAAATTATCGGTGACATCCATACGCACACTTGTATACCAGTCCAGTGCACGGACTGCCAACCAGTCAAGACATGTTTGTGAGGATATTATGTGAGGGAGAGGGGAGAGAGAGAGAGAGAGAGAGTCGACCAAAAGTTGATAAAAGTTGTTTAGCAAACATTTTGCTACTATTAAGTGTTTGGAAATTATGAAAAATAAAAATTTTTACTCTCAAAGAAGAAAAGTTATAAAAAGTAAACTCAAGAAAGCAATGACTGAGCCGTGAGTTCGACCTCTCATTTACAACTTCCCACTCATCTCTCTCAAGACTTCATTGACTTTCGAGAGCTTATAATACATTTTTTCCTCCAATTCAGTGTTTAGTTCAGAGATTAGGTAAGAGTATAATAGAGGGACTGAGAGGGACGGGAGAGAGGGATAGATAGGACGAGTGGATCGACTTTTCTCTACTTTGACTCAACTCTCGGTTCCTTAGCTCTTGTGGTGCTTCCAAATGAAGGGGTCGTCGATGAAAGTCACTCACGATTTTTACGGTTAAAACAAAATTATAGTGTTTTTCTCTCTCCTTTAAAAGGGATCTTCCCTTTAATAATAGAAAAAAGAATAACTACTTGTTTAACAAAACGGATAAAAATAAAAACTCCGAAAATATTAGTAGAAATCACTCTCTGTTTGATTCAAACAGTCATTATATAATATAATAATAATTGTGTATAACATATAAAACATATAAAAAATTAATTCATTTATAATATTGCGAGTAATTTAGAGCTTAAGGTATCTCGGAGTCAGTGCACAACACAATCAAAAAAGTAATTGCACTTAAAATTGTGGTTTTGTTTTTCTAATGCTATTTCTATGAACAGAAACCATACAATTAGGTAATATATAAAATATAATTCAAAGTCAACGGACGGATCACTTGCGATGCTATCATAGCATATGAGTTATAGAAACGAAAGGATAGACACCGTAATAATATGTAATATAAAAATTTAAGGCGAAATAAAATTAACTATTATTTAACATTTAGGGTGTATTGAGGTTTTAGAAAACAAAAACAAGAGAATTTAAATTTTGTACAAATTTCTATAATCCATTGGTATATATAAAGAAAAACTAATATAATATAATATATGGAATATTAAATACCAAATAAAACATATAATTCAGGACACGATATATTACGGAATAATGCTATTCATAGGGTCTGACTTCACAAATATTATACATTATACAGTAAAACACTGTATATAACGTGTGTTTGTATTTTTCAGGCACTTTTCAGACTTTCTCTCTCCCTCTAAATTGCAAAGAATTTTTTATTTGATTTTAATTTGCATTAAATTTTTATATGCTTTTTGTATCCACAATATTCAACATTGATTTATTAGGGCGTCAGACATACTATACTATTGAGCAAACCTATGGCTAAATATAGAAATATTAATCATTTTCCTCTTAACCTCTCTGTACTCCTCATTCATATAACTAAAGACATCACCAAATGTGACGATAAAATGGCTTTTAATATAAAAATTATAAAAATTGTTTTATCAAAATATTTTCAGACAATTAAATGAAGAAAAAATATTGAACTAATGGACTGAAAAAATGCGTTTTTGAGTTAAACTGAAATTTTTTCGCTAAACTTTTCACTGTGTTTATAGCATAAGACGATTGAATGATGAGAATTGATGGCAAAAAAGGCATTTTTATGCTGTATTTGATGGTAATCTGTCTAAACGTGTGTAAAACAGCGCTCAGGTAAACGGAAAAATGCCCTCAACTATGGTATCGACAGTCAGACAACACATATAAGTTAAGGAACTATTTTATTATCGCAACTCATGTCCATAAAAATATAAAGTCAAGTAAAGTGTATATAGTTTTTTCGCCCGAAAAGTTTTGTGAACTCGCAACTCAGCCCAAACTATAACAGACACATAACATACACCATCGCAACTAATTTTCGTCTACCGTTCCTCTACTGTCTTATCAAAAGTGATCGGTTTTCACAAGAATTGCTGACTTAATTGAATAGCTATTCTATGAGCCGACACAAAGTTGGCAATAAAATCTCAATTATTATCATTTGATTTGTTGTTTGACTTAATTTTTCTAACAAATCGTTTTCATTGGAAATCGTCTATAAATTCTTGTCGTAGGGATAGAAATGATTAATTCCTGTAAACTATAATCAATTGCTAAATAAAATGAATTAGACTTGCATTCAATACATATATTATAGACTTCTCTGTTTCGGTTTCCCATTTACTTTCTCCTATTAACTAAAATTTATTTGATTTATTTGACTTAAAAAGTATTATAAAACAATTTGCAAAGTACTTTATAATCAATACTAAAACGCTGTAATATTATAGACAGACGTATAATTCAATTGAGAGACTGTTTTCGTACAGTTAACAAACTTTTAATATAAATTCAAAACTCGGAGCGATTTTGAGTGTAATTTTTGAGTGCAAAGCCAATCGCTATATGATATTAAAAGTCAAGTAAAGTGTATATAGTTTTTTCGCCCGAAAAGTTTTGTGAACTCGCAACTCAGCCCAAACTATAACAGACACATAACATACACCATCGCAACTAATTTTCGTCTACCGTTCCTCTACTGACTTATCAAAAGTGATCGGTTTTCACAAGAATTGCTCACTTAATTGAATAGCTATTCTGTGAGCCGACACAAAGTTGGCAATAAAATCTCAATTATTATGATTTGATTTGTTGTTTGACTTAATTTTTCTAACAAATCGTTTTCATTGGAAATCGTCTATAAATTCTTGTCGTAGGAATAGAAATGATTAATTCCTGTAAACTATAATAAATTGCTAAATAAAATGAATTAGACGTGCATTCAATACATATATTATAGACTTCTCTGTTTCGGTCTCCCATTTACTTTCTCCTATTAACTCAAATTTATTTGATTTATTTGACTTAAAAAGTATTATAAAACAATTTGCAAAGTACTTTATAATCAATACTAAAACACTGTAATATCATAGACAGACGTATAATTCAATTGAGAGACTGTTTTCGTACAGTTAACAAACTTTTAATATAAATTCAAAACTCGGAGCGATTTTGAGTGTAATTTTTGAGTGCAAAGCCAATCGCTATATGATATTCAGGTTTTTATAAATAGCGATTTGATTTCCAAATGACAACAACTTATTATATATTCTCATATAAGGCTTTATAACAGCTTTTTCTCTGACTTTTTATTATATTTGCTTTGGGGCTATGATTTAATTAAACTGAAAAACAGATATTTTTCAATTCCTATCGATTCTGTATTAATCAAAATTAAAGTCTCGCTCGAAATGTCTGCACAAATATATATCAATGTTTTATTCAATATCTTATTGATTACTAAACACTGATTTTATACTTGAAATTTTGGTATAAATACTTCATTTAGTGAATAAATTTTCGCTTTTCTAAAAAACAAAGTTTACATAAATTTCCCAAATCAATCATTAGATATGATTTGTTGGTTTTTATGTTTGTTTTGAATAATATAAACACTTTTATCCCTTCGTATACAAAGAGATTGAAAGTTTTTGTATACAAGTGTCAATTGAAAGCCTTTCTTATATCCTATACATAAATATATAAAATACTAAATAAATTCTCGGAACTCATACCAAGAAGTTATAAAAATATTATTTATTTAACACTTTTTAATTCCTATTATGAGTTTATTATTAGTCATATGAAAAGGCGATGAACTGAATGGCGAGGGAACGGCATGTGTGCTGACAATATACGGGAAATACCGACAAATAGATAAGGAATACAAACATAGCGTTTGAGTGAATACTCTGACAACGCTTTTTGAGACCGTGTGTAGGGTTTGCTTACCTTTTGGGCCGTCATCACAGTTTGCCTCCAATTGTCCGCTGAGAACATACACTTGACATAACTGAGCGACGGTCGGGTGCTTTTGGTCAGATCGATGACACAGGCCTGGGCTTTGTTGCCGTAGCACTCGTCCGGGCCGTGTTGGCACTGGAAGTACGGCTTGAAGTCGTGGTTCGGGTAACTGACGTTTGCGTTGCCGAATGGGATCAGATCGATGTCCACGTATGGACTCAACTTCTCGTACGTCGGGATCAGTTGGTTCAAAATGAAGCGCCGGCTGTCCGGGCAGATGGACTCGTAGTAAACAGAAATCCTGTTGTTTGTCTAAAAGGAAACACAAAATTGACATTTTATGTAAATTAGAGAAACACCGGTCGAGAGACTGTTTTATGTTATACTTTTAAATTAAATAAATATCACTTTTCATAAGTAAACTGTTAAATTGTTAATCAAAGTTCGGTTAACAACTGTCTAAAGCATAACTTTCTAAATATTTATAACTTTTTTAAAGTTTATAATCAAATTACATAAACTGTTTCTAACTAACAAAATATTTTCATATAAAAATAAAAGATTAGATATAACTTATAATGGAAGTGAACAGAAAATATAGAAAATCTTATAATCGATTAGAGATTAGTTGAGAATTTCATTTTATTTGAGATGACATCCCTTCAAAACTTAACTTACATGATGTGAATCGATGGTTAAAATGAAATGAAATAAAAACATAAGAAAAACTAGAAATTTAATCATTTTTTCCTATTTTCACAAAACCGTATAAATCACTAAAAAATTAATTTTATTATTAATCTTTAAACTTCTGGTTTATATCCACTAATAATAGCCGTTTATATGGAGTGAAATGAGTCGATACACACAGTGTTGCAGTGAATGCACAACAATATAAGAAACAAGAGTTTTGAAGACAATTATCGGATAGTCTTAGGGAAAGGTGTGCGCAACTAATTCACGCTAACTTTCCACACACTCTGCCAACAGTTGTTGTGGTGTTTGTGAGGCTGTGTCTCAGCGTTCAGGTGCTCTCGAATGGGCGATCCGGACGACCAACAGAAATATGTGAGCCTTAGCTCCGACTGTAAGACTGCAAACAGTGATGGTATGAGAGGAGAGAGACTTAGACTAAGAATAAGGTCATCGCTTCTCAATACCAGCCACTCTACCAAACCGTACATAAGGTGTACATAAAGTGCATAATTTATTGCTAACTCAGAGACCGGTTCTCTGACTTCTCCAAGAGGTAAAAATGAAAGCCTTATGTGTTATCATAAGGAAAGGTATGAAATATAAGACCTGATGTACACACACGCTGTATACAGTGTACAGTGTATACAGAGAACAAAATATCGTATTGAATACCTTTGCAAACAAATAATCATTTAATACATTCTGATTGAGCTATGCTTTAGGTATGGCATCAAAAGGACAGTAAACGCAGACAACAAACTATCTTTTCCTCTCAACTCATGGTTTGTTTGGGCCATCAGTTAAGAGAAGAAGCTTTTGATCATATTTTTGACTTTTGAATAGTATTTGTGATACGAGAAAACAATTAATCCGCTCTCAAAAGACTGTATTTAGTGACTGATCTAATGATAGCTTCGGAGAAACTATTCACTCGATTGTAAGCTTAAAGTTAATGTTTTGGAGAGAGAGAGAGAGAGAGAGAGAGAGAGAGAGAGAGGTCTATTATTTTCACTACAAATGCAATTATTATGATTTTTGCCAAACACTTTAAGCATTTAATGATAAGAATCAGTTGTATTCATAATTTTTCAAATACATAATCATTTTTATGAGTATTTCTCAAACGATTCAAATAAACAATAATAGAAATTCTATACAGTTTTGTCTCTTTATTATCCTATTATTCTGTTCACTATTTTTTGAGTCTTTATTCAAATGTTTTTATTCAAAATATTAGATAAAACGCCCAAATATTTAGGGCTAATATATATCTTATTTTTGTGTTTAAAAATGCAAAATAAATCATTAGGTATGCCATTTGTCATGAAATATGATATACAGTATTGACTTCTTTGACTGACTTATGATTTATTTTCCAAAATAGCATTTTATTTGCTTTTTATTATAATTTATAAATATTAATGAATAAAATTCAACCCATCAGATACATTTTTATTTGGATTTTTCAAATAAATGTTTACAAAAAGGACAAACTTTGATATTATATATTATGTAATGTTTTAATTATAAATTATAGAAATAAAATTGTAGTTTTTGGTGGACTAATAAATTTTAAAATATATCTAAAACTATATAATTTACTTGCTTATATGATTAAATTAAGTTAATAATATGTATTAATAATCAATTATACAAATAGATAATGGATTTTAATATTAAAACCGGCGTTTTGTTGTAATAAACTATTGCACCGGTATATTGGCCTCAATTTAAGTCATATATTTTGTTTATTATAATAAATGAGAATATTATTGTAATCATATGAAATGTTTTGTTTAAATTTTTAAATTAAAATTCTGCACACCAATGCAAACAGGGCTAAAACTAAATAATTAAAAGCTTATTAATAAGTTTGGGTTTAGACGCGTAAATCATTTGTCACTAATAAATGAAGTTTTCAATCATATTGTAATTTATTTGTTAATTCTCTAGATTTAATTATCTGCTAATAAATCAATTGATGGATTGATACGTTAGTAATGAAGTATAATTAGTCGTGTAATCATGTTAGCCATCAATAGGCAAAAGGTTTTATTTCATGATAATGCTATTTAATCATAAAAGTATAATAAATAAGGAATTGATTACAAATTACTGAAATCAAGTCTCATTTCTAATCAGTCGATAATTATTGAAGCAATAGTTGAATTAAATGCAAATATTTACATATTCCTGATTATTGAGTGATAATCCAGTGTTAATTTGGTAAACAATAGTTTAATTGGAAATAAACAGACACATGTAAGGTATTATTTAATTAAAAATTAGTGTGTAAACTATACTACAGTAGTACAGTGTTTATTTGAAAGCTATTCGAGTGTTCAAAACACTTAACATTTCTATCTAATTATTAAATAAATATTCATATATTGCTATAAAAGGTTATTACAAACATATTAAAAATTAATTTTATGTTAAAATACTTGATTCTCAAGAATTTAATATTTAATATTGTAAAACACATTTAATGTTATAATTTTTTTATTTCATAATTATTTAATATGATAAAATAATCAGTTTTTGGAAAATCATAATATTTTTAAAATAAAAGTTATACGTTAAAATTATAGCATTTTAATATAACATTTATTACAGTTGACGCGCTTATCTGTACTGACCCGCACAGCCCCTAAAAATTTGAGTTAAAACTAAAAGTCAAATTCAAGCGATAACTCGATAAACACTTTATTTTTAGTTATTTTTGCAAACACTTCTCCTATGATTAAGTATAAAACAAACTTATCGTATCATAGCTTATAATTTTCATAATCTATTAGCCTTTTAGCAAACACTACACAATGTTTAACACTTCTATGCCTTGCGTCTGAATTAACAAACAAATGGTTAACAATTACACCAAACAGAAGAC